ATTTTTGTCACCACACAAATTACACATCCTAGAACCAGGGGACATTTAAAAAAAACCTCATTTCTTCCACAAAGTGAGGACCTCAGATCTCAAGATCTCATACCTGTTCAGATCCACAAAATCAATACCATAACTAACTCCTAGGTGATGTGACGTTACTGCTCTTTCCAAAGGGTTTTTACAAGACCTGTAAGAGCAACTATATTTTAACACTGGAATATCAGCTGTTGTTATTAATAGGTTTTAACTCATTAAAATTATTTTCCTCACTGGACACCTGCCATGCAGAAATTACATTACTTTTGCTGTTTTTATTAAACTTTGGATTAAAAAAAAGTATAATTTTTTTTTTCCTTAATGAGATCTTAGCCACTTTTTACAAAGACTCTGCATTTAGCTTGTCTTCTTGAGCAATTTCATTTGCTTTTGTTCCCTGCTGTGCTGGAAACATGCTTTGTGCTTGCTCTCAATCAGGTATCCCAACAGTTTATCAGGTAGCATGGCATAATACAAATATAGTTACAGATTAGCTGTTCCCTGCTGCCATTCACTTCATGGTTTAGATCCCTTGTCATTTACAAATCAAAATGTTTATGCACTCAATTATAACACTTCCAAATGAGAATAAAAGGTATTCCATTACTCCCAAGACGACTATGGAAACATTTGCATGTAAAGTACTGTGATACTCTAAATCCCCTCCGTTTCATATTTCTCCATGTCTCACTGCAGTGGAACATCTCACAGTGATCTAACATTTATAAAAGGGTTATGCATGCACACCAGATCAGAGCTTTGTAATTCGCAGGAGGTCTTTGTCCAAGCTAAAAGATTGCTGAAAAGAGTCCCTGGAACTTTTGGCACCCACAAGCATCAACACAGCAAACTGCCTCCTTTTGCTTAGCCAAAGAGCCTTGGTCAAATGCCACGCAAAAAATATCCTGCTACTAGCTCTGCCCAAAGATGCACGTTTCACCCGTGTGAAGGATCAAGAAAAGCAGCAAAATGCATTGCAGAGGCAAACCAGTACAAACGATATGAGTACAGGGCTGAATTTTATCGAAGTACAGGCAAAGAACAGGTTATTACCATTATAAACACACATGCGTATGTGTTGGGAAAGGGAATTAGATGTTTTCCCCACAGTGGCCAGAACATGAGCCATAATATCAGCCTGTCTATATTCTTTTGCCCGAAAGACATGGCGCACCAGGCTGAGGAGAGTGCTCAGTAGATTACCCCTAACGTACTGTCGTCAGCTCCTGCTGACATTCCCAACACCGCCAACCTCCGGTGTCTAAAAACGGCTGTGTCTGCTCCTGGTCCAATGCACATTCTTGGGTGATGGAACGAGGGCACATTCTGGATTTTCATCAGCTAAAAAAAGAGTAATTAATCTTAATTCTCCTCTTCTCCCTGAAAATTAGAACTACTATAGCTTTAGGGAAACAAAGAGCTATCAGTTGTTCTGTGGCAAATTAATCTTAAAGGGGGAATCTTCCAAAGTTAATCAATAGCTTATAACAAGATTCTGTATTAGTGTTTGAGCCCTGAAACTCAAACTAGAATCAAAGGGTGCTTTCAGCATTGCAAGTTTGCTCTTGTTGTGCTTTGTTTTTAATACAATGTCATCATCTGAAAAAGTGAGATTTTCACATATGAGCAATTTTAATTATGTGCGGCTTCACCTTCATGGAAGACTCTAGTAATATTTAGTACAGACTGTAAGATTACAGGTATTACAGGCAACTTTAAAGAAATTATTCTGAAAAGAAGGAATTAATAGGGAATTATATTTTTTATCCTGCATGTAATATTCTATATCTAAGACATCTTTATTCATTTGTACCTTTCTAAATTAGTCTGTTCCATATGAGAAACTTTGAAAATGATGTCTCCTTACATGGTCAATCTTTTTTTTAAAAAAAGAAAAACCTAATGAATTTAACGATGGTGCCATGGAAACAGCTTTAAAATTAATTTGGATGCAGGGAGGAAGGGTACAACTCTAACACAGAGAAAGTGACAGGTTTCAGAAGAAAAAAAGTCTGTCTTCATTCAGCACTGGGATCTTTGAGAAACAATAACGCATAGCAAGGCAAGGGGATCTTTTCAAACTATAGTGAAGCAATATTTCTCAAGCACACTCTCCAAAACGGTTCATTACCAAACTGAGATGTGATAAGGAGAGGCGGAATGGGGCAGAGGCATACAAACCTGCAGGAATGGGAAACTTGAAAATGAAAACCGCTTGAAAGCACTGGTAAAGAATGCCAAAGTTCTCAGACAAGTACTTTTATTGTAAAGACAGCACAATACGGGGTGGAGAGATCATTTATAGATCAGCAAAGGAAATAACTATTCTAATTTCTAATCAGTTCAAGTCTGTTAACTCATTCCCACAAATACCTATTGACTGCCCGCAGTCTGGGTGTGAGTTTTGCACAGAACGAATTGTGTCTCTTTCGGACATTGAGAGAGGTCTCCAACAGAGCCGGGACACTATTATGTGCTGAGGCCCGTATCACTCACCGCAATGTCATGTGTTATGCAAGACTAGAACTGCACGGGACAGTAGGCTCCTTGCCGTGAGTCTGGGACAAATAGCCTATATGTGGTCATATGTACTGCAGAAGTTTTATTTCCAGAAGTCCCATCAGTAAAAATGAGAGTTTGATATTGACTCAGGGCTTCCATGGCTGGAAGGAGAATTTGGTCCTTACTTTTACCCATTCCTGCACTAGACACATTGGTTTGTTAGCTAAACTAAGTTAATCTAATTCATTGTTATTCTGGGACTTTGCACAGAAGAAATTCTAGTCTAAAGCAGATTTCATCACTTATTTCCTTGATAATTCACTAGTTGGTTTGGCTGCCAGAGTGAATAGTTGCACATAAAAAGAAAAATATGTTACTAAGCCTAAAAATTTCAGTGAGTGCACAGTCCCCAGAACCATGATGTTATCAAAGTTCAGTGGTACCGCAACGTGATGACTAATGAGCCTATAACCTCTATGTGCTATAGAGTAAATGCTCTCATTAATTCTTTACAAGACCTTTAGAAAACATACTGCATTTATCCTACTTCCTAGCTGTCAGAATTTAGTAGATGACTTCATTGGCTACTTTGACATTTTTACTTTTTCGTTCCAGTTTGGTTTGTTTGCTTGCCTTAAAAAATGCCTACTGGGTGAATTGTAAAAAGGTCAACCAACAGCTCCCAAATCCAGACAGGACAAAAGTAACTGAAATTTACACATTATAGCAGTAATTTTGACCCTTACCATATTTTTTTGGTCTGTGAACTGTTAGCTGTAAATATAAAGCTATGTGCCAAAGATCTTCTAACCTTCCTAATGCAAATATTCTCTTTCCTTTCAGAATTTCCACTACCCCTTTTTACATCAATGTCCCAGCACTAAAACAGCATCACTAAGGGATTTGGGGAGTGGTGGGAGGAGAGTGCCTGGTGGATTTTTATATTAGATCATAAGATCTGATTCTGAGTAATTTACTTATAAGCAGAATACATTTTGCAGTCAGGGCAGAGTGTAGGAAATAGAACTGTCTGAACACTCCCAGAGTTTGGACGCATCATTTATTTCTCAACTTATCATAGACTGAGATAATAATGGTGTAGGTTACACATAAATTGGGATGCTGTTATAATTTAGATCACTACTAGTACACATGGTGGTGGACACACATATTTGAATGGCAAAGCAAGGCTTTGTCTTTGTAACTTGATTGTGCGCTGCAGATCGTATAGGGAGGTCATTCCTGCAGAGAAATCCTTGCAATTGTATTTCACTACTGAAGCATCAGACATTGCATTCATCCAAACGACAAAGTCACCAATGCAGGCACTAAACCCCATTTCAGTGTTTTTTGGGGTGGAGTTTTTTTTTCCTGATTATAAACATGGAAAGCACGCTATGATGAAATTTCTTTACTGGCAGTATTAGTCTTTGGCCATTTGTACAGTTAAAAAGACCACCAGACATAGATCAAGTTAATACTGATCTTGTTCACAGTATGTAATTCCAGAAATTTCAGTGGACAGCCTTTAGATGTATGCCAGCACATGGAAGACGCACCTGATTTTTAAATACGAACGTCAGGCTGCTGCAATTCTAAAAATGCCAGAACAATGACCTTACTTTTCTAATTGACATCTGAAAATGAAGATAGATATCTTTAGGGTAAATAAAGCTAACTAGCCTTTCACATTCTTAGAAGTACTTAACTGCCTCACGAATTCATTAAAGTTGTTCATCTTTTAAAAAAAAGTGAGGCTACAAATTGCAATATAAATGGTAACAGTGTCCTGTGATCCCAGACAAATCAAATACCATTGTTCTGGGTAAGACATTTACATATGCAGGGAAAGAGATGAACTGTGCCTTCATAATTTAAAAGTTCCAACGAATCATAAAACTAAAAAGCAGAAGAAAAGCTGTAGGAGCTAAGGAGAACCTGGTTAACAATAATACAGTAAGTGCCTAACTGTAGGAGCTTTTGTAACTGAGTTTGTAAAATCTGGGGCCAACGAATATTAGTATTTTGGATTCTGCAAGTGCTGGTTTTAACAGTTCCAAAGCCGTATCCCATATGTTTCTTCAAATATTTCAACCCCTGACTCCTCTGTGTTTGGCTTGAGGCTGAAAAGTACAGATTACTTGATGCCCGTGGCAAGTGCTGTTGCAACAGGGAAATGATGTCAACCCCTGCAGTGCAATTCATAACTTGATGTGGGTAAATTCACTTACTGACAATTTAGAAGAAAACATGCTGGTGCTGTGCCAGTTGGAGCCAGATGGTGACTGAAATTATTAAAATCACGCATGCTGCAAACCTCTGAAAAATTGCACTGTCACAAAATATCCTAAGGATAAATGGGATCCTAATACAAACCAATTGGTGTATAGAGAGCATTTGCAAACAGCGTATGGTATGATTTGCTACTGTTTAATTGTAATCTTTCCCTTCCCTGTTTCTAGGTTCAACTAATCCACTATAACCACGAGCTGTACACAAATGTCACAGAAGCTGCAAAGAGCCCTAATGGGTTGGTGGTAGTTTCCATATTTATGAAAGTAAGTATTCAGTATTATCGTTACCTAATATAGAGACAATGGACTACTTTTCCCATGAGCTGTAAATCTAGGAATTAGACTCCTAATTATACTATAGCAATGCCTAGAGGCTCTGATCTGGAATCCAGAGACAGCATCGTCCTAGGAACTGAACACAATCTCTACTCCAAAGCATTTGAGAAGAGGTGGTGGGGGGGGGGGGGGGAATCCTTATATCATAAACATCACTCCTAACACTTTAATGGCTATGGGCAAAAGCTACTAATTTTGCAGATTTGGTATTTCTTCATGAAATGTTATTCATTCAATTAAAAGTAAATCTCTCCTAGTAGGTTGAGGCCCTGGGAAAGAGGGCATGTTTGCTCTTTGGAGACATGCTGATGTTTCAAGTCAGCAAAATAAGATTTTTTCACAATGTTATTTAAAACATCTTAAACTATCAAAACTGAAAGAACATTAAAAGTATAACTCTTGATATCTTCCATTTCACAGAACGAGACAGACAGGTGAATATTTTGTCATATTTTAGTCTCCATCCTGTTGCATTCAAGATGCATAGTTAGGTCTAGAAATTACAGTGATCTAGCACTGAACTCAAGAGTTAATAGTTTAGTCAAACCTCCCTAATTACATTGGAGAAACCTTTTCTCTCATTTTATACGAAGAATGCATTTCCCCAAAAAATGTTGTTCATATTCTGCCATTACATATCTCTGTTTCATCAGTCTAGAAAAGCATATAATTCTGAATAAGTGCTTCATGCTGAAATAAATAACTTTCATCATCAGACCTTACATATTGGATATCCGTTAATTCCCTTTAGTACTCTCTAATCCCATTTCATAAGGTAAAGTTCTGGACAAAGCATTAACCTCAGAATTAAAATATGCATTGCACAGAGCATACTGAATAATTAGATATGAAAAATGCCCATTTATACAGGTCTAATATTTAAGAAAGATATTTAGGTTACCTTTTTCATCCAAAATGCATTGTATTATGACCCAACGATCTGACTTGAATTCGCGCAAAAGGGTAAAATTGAAGCAAGCCTTCAAAATGCCCAGCACGCCAATTTTGTCTAAATAATGCATCACTCATGTACTTGCTGCGTTGCACACCTTTTGTAATGAGCAACAACATTTAGTATCTGCCTCACTCTATTTTTCTCTAGGCCTCTCTCACTGGCGTGAAAAGATGTGTTCTATTTTAAATGTCCAAAGTAGTTAGAAAAACTTCTAAGTGGAGAAGTAACTATCCGAATTTCCACAAAATGGAACCTGAACTGAATTTTCCTGAAGGCTACCTGTCAAACAGAGCTGGATTACAGTTTGTCCAATAGCCCATTTATTTTCCTAAATCTCAATTAAACTTATTGTGAAGTTTTCCATTTTCAAAATAAATTGATTTCATTCTGGATAAATGCTAGATGTATAACAGCAGCATCCAGTGCTGATACAAAAACCCACATCACAGAATAATTGAAAGATAAGTAGGATATTCAGGGCTAGCTACAGAGGAACTAAAATGTCTCCATAAAAAAATGTGATACTTATTTTGCTGCTAACCAATAATAATTTTGCCATTTGCAGTGCAATAAAATCTCTCATTAAATCATTGTTGATAATCAACAATGATATTGTTGATAAAGTACATACACCACCACCCACCACCCCCCTACAAACAAACAAACAACACGACAACAATGCCTCTAAGCCCTCTATCTTTTTTCCTCACTAAAATGTCTCCATAAAAAAAATGTGACACTTATTTTGCTGCTAACCAATAATAATTTTGCCATTTGCAGTGCAATAAAATCTCTCATTAAATCATTGTTGATAATCAACAATGATATTGTTGATAAAGTACATACACCACCACCCACCACCCCCTACAAACAAACAAACAAACAAACAACACGACAACAATGCCTCTAAGCCCTCTATCTTTTTTCCTCTAAATCCTCTTCAGGTATGCTTATGTTAATGTAGGCTGAACAGTCTATGTGTATGTATACGTGTATGTATACATATTTGTGAGTGCACGTGAGTGAAATTTAGGCATTTCATACCTGTATGTAAAACAAAGGGAAGACAGATTTTATTTGCAGTCTAAATAGTCTGCTGCAAGGAAAGTATATTTCTCAATAAATAGAAAGATAATAGAATACTATATGAAAATCCTACCTAATTATATATAGGCAAATCCCATCAAAGCTGTTGGAGGAGAAACCTGTACTCACGCGTGGATTCAGGCATTAATTTCTATTCATCCTGTTCTCCCATCCCTGGTTTTTTTGGATTTAGTTGTAGATACCAACTTTCTAACAAGTTTTGTTAGAAAGTTGTCTAAGTAATTATTTCCTCTTCCCAAAACAGTGAAAAAATGGCAGAAACAATTTGGAGGAGTGGCAGGAGAGAGAGAATGAGCGTGCGTGCGTGTGCACATGCAGAACAGCTGCATTTCCAGAAGGTAAATGTTCGTGAGAAGATTTTGACATTGTACATTTTCTCTTCTGTAGGTATCTGAATCATCAAATCCATTTCTAAATCGTATGCTTAACAGAGACACCATAACAAGAATAACGTATAAAAGTAAGTTTCTTTTAATTTACTATGGCTAACAGCTGTATGCTTTTAGTATCAACATATTTAGCAATCCACTGAAACAAGAGGCACTTCATTACGGGCAAAAATTACAAAGTTTGCATTGCCAGCAACCCTGCATGATAAACTTGGGAACCTGAAAAATCTAGTAAGGTCATCAGTTCATCAAATGGATTTTGAACTTCAAAGTCTATTTTATGTTTGAACAAGCAATAAATTAAGGAAATTATACTTAACAAATACATATACTGTATTCACACAGAATACTCAGGAGAAACTGCCTACTGTTAGCAATAAAAGTAACACACGGAGCAGCCTGGAATATATCAAATCAAGTTATGTCAAGATGCTGCATCATTAACTGTGGATTTAGTATTCATTAATGCTTTCTTTTTGTACAGAAAAGTTATGACATTTCTATTCAACTATTGCTGCATTTAATGGATCTATAAAGAGGTCATTAACATAGCATGTATATTTGTTGCATTCACATTTGGAAAGCCTTTAACTGATAATGCTCAATAATTCCATGTTAATCTATTGAACTTGTGGAAAACTGGAGCTTAAATGTCAGTGAAAATTAGGCTAGTTTAGAGAAAGTCATGAAAAATACATATATCTCAATGGAACAAATTAAACCTCTTTTCCCAAAAACCTTATTCCCTTTGTAAAATATTCACTTGAATTCCAAGCAGCCATTAAGTTAATAAAATAAGTTAAACGATACCAGAGTTTAACTTTCAGAAAGTACACAGCAAACGGCAGAAATAAGGAAAGTATTGTAAAACTCAGCCTTCGTTTGTTATTCTGTAAACAATGACTTCACATTTTTCATAAACTACATTAATTTTCCTCTTGTTTATGAAAGCTGGGTGAGAGCTGTTCATGGTAACTGGAATGAGACTGGCTGTCAGGACTCCAGGATCTGATTCACAATTCTGTTAGGGTTTGCCTCAGTTTACCTCTCTGTAAATGAAATATATTGTACTATATACTCTACAGCAACACAGTGTTACTTGGAAAACTTTGCATCTGAAACTCCAGAGATCTCAAATGTCCATTTAACTTCAACAAAAGTCACTGAACTTCAGGTTTATGACAGAAGGGTTTGGAGAGATTTCTATACGCATCCCTAAAGCACACAGTCTGATTTCTTTCCATGGACTCCATCTTTTCCCCCTCCCTGCAAAGCCAGGATTGTAAAAAGCAAAAGTGTAGATTTGAGACCAATGTAAAGTGAAAGCACAGAATTTTACCCACTAATTCCTGAACAAGAGAGCACTAGAAACATTTCGAGTCTTGCCATACAAAACAGAATTTGAACAACTGAGCCAATCCAACCCCATTCTGAAGTAGATAGTTCAATGTCCTCTCCTATAACGCACACCTTTCCTCCCACTGATGTTTCTCTAATTTTACCTTACAGTTAACGAATCTCATTACATCTTTGGTCCAAATAAGAGGCCTCTATTATGATAAAACTCTATTCTCCATGACACCTATAGAAAGGAAGGCGACAGAGGGTTCCCCTCAGAACATTTTTTTCCAGATTGTTCTATCAGTATGAAATGTCGTCTTCTCTGCAGGGAAGAAGCAGGAGATTAGCCTAGTTTTTAAACTGCCTGTCTTGATTCCTTGCAAAAAAACAGCAATACTGTTCTGTAAGAGCTTCCTGCCTACCGGTGCTGCTGCTGCAGCATCCTGGAGACAGGAAATTATCGTTGAGGCTGTATATGCTTTTTCAGGCTCTTTCACCCCCAAATTACATATTCCTGGCTTCTGTCTGGGGACCAGCCAGAAGATCTCTGAACTGTACCACTGAGAAAGCTGCTTTTCCCCACGTACACACACACACAGACCTGTCAGGTCCCACACGTTGAAAAAGAGAGGACTCCTGCCTCATTTTTCCCATCACAGCAGCTGTATCTCATGCATTTACATGAGCGTCACAGCCTTTTTTGTACTCCTTGGCCCCACATGCTACAATGGCTGGCCAGCAGAGCAAAGATAGGACAACTTGTGGTGGCGCAGAGGAGAGGAGAGGTCACGATTAGGGATATACAGCTCCACAGGGCGGGAGGGCACCGGCAGCATCTTTCCCTTGTTGCGTGAGTGAGCATGCAACTGTCACCCACACCAGGAGGCAGGCATACCTTCCCAATACAAACGATTTCTTTTGTACGCTGCACTTAAAAGTGGGCACTCCTCCTCTCTGGAATTGACAGCATCCTACAACCTTTCATTGGTTGTTTTGCCTCTTCAGAAGGAAAATGCAATTCCAATCACACCTAATTTGGGTTTACTAAATGAAATTTCGCATGAAGATGAACACATAACATAGGCTGCAAAATCAGTGATTAACAGAACTGTTTTAATTTTTAACCACTGTTATCATTAGCAAGTTTATCTGTTAAAAAGAAATCCTTGGTAGATACAATGCACATAATATTCTGCAGCGTGTTGTGTTACTTACTGTAGTAACAAGTATTGACTGGGAATTTTTTCGTGTAAATTGGGAACGTGAAAGTGTTATTGAAAGTAAATTTGCAGTTGTCTTGCATGATGGATTATAGCATCATTGCTGAAAACTAATTTTACCTCTTACATTGCAAGGATTTCTATTCTGCCTTTATCAGCTGGAGTTTTTTAGCTTGTGCTTTAGGGGTCCACTCCTGAAGTCAATACTCAGCAGGCTGTTGACAAAATGACCAGTCCCAGTGTGCTCAATAGGAGCGTGGAGCGAATGCTAAGTGGAGCATAGGTTCAGAGTCAGGACAGTTAGTAACATCACTAAAGTACTTTTTTCAAAGAACAGCAACAAAATTAAGAGCTATCTATGCTGCTGCCTGAAATTTCCATGGACAAAATGCATTAAAAGGTGAATTTCTACTCTTAGATATTAATGGCTACAGTGAAGTAAATGGGACCCCAAGGAATTTTTATGCAGATTTTAAATGCTTATTTTATTCTGTTATCACAGCCCAAAGAATCTACTGTGAACTAGTTGAAACAAGTGTTCTTTCAAACAGGCTTTAGTCAGAAGCTACATGAACATCTCTAAAGAAAAACTGCTTTAATATTCTTCTTTAAGTATGACATTTGAGGGTATAAGTTTGCTTTCTTTCAGAACAGTTATGCTACATTAACTTTCACCCAGTGTTTGCTTAACATTGGAAAGAAGTAACATTTTAGATTCCCAAAATTCCGTATGAAAATTTGGGCTTGTCATTCTCCACCGAAATACTGCCAAATATTCAGCTAGATGAACAGCTGTAAAATTCTGAATTTCCTCAAATCCAATCTTTAGCTATTTTATAGATAATGTACAAGTGAATAAAGTATTCCGATTTTAAGATATTATCCTGAAAAAGCTTAAGATCCAGATTTCTGGAAATAAGAGACTATTAATTTCTCAAGGTTCATGTTTCAGTGCGTTCTCTGAAGGACTGAGCTCTTGCAGCTCCTGTCACAAGCAGTAAAAGCTCAGCAGTCTCAAACCAAGCCCCAAGGGACTGACCTCAGGTATTCAAAATGAATCTCTGTCAGCCTGGGTCTAAGTGACTTGTGAAGGCTGGTAAATGGAGAAACTCTGTGTCAGGATTAAAAAGCTGAGGATCTCTACATTCCTTACCCTGTAAATCTAATCTAGTTAGAGCTGTACTTTCCCTTTTTGGATTATCATAATGTGAACTTCAAAATCAAATGGACCTTCCTTCATTCTGTAAATAATATATTCCCTATAAATACTATTGTTTTCAAGAGAACATACATAGAATTTGCTGTGAAAGCAGACACCACGTGCCTATTACAAATCTGGGATAAAAGAAGAGGATTTCCATCATTTGCTAAGAAAATTGTCAGAGTCAAGGCCTTTATGTAAATGAATATGAAATCTAATGAAATCTAATTTGTATAGAGAAGAGTTCATGAGTTCAGAAATCACCCAAGGCACAAGCGGATCAAGATAAAGAGAACGTGGGCTGTAGATAGGAATGATGCTGAGAATCTAGTAAAGGCTGAATGGGCTCATTAAAGGAGGTTTGTTACTGGTAAGAGATCACACATGGTGATTTTGACCATTTTGAACTACGTACTTGCAATAAATATAAGACAAGACATTAAAGTCTTGTCTAGTATTGCAGGTATGTTGCAGTCTAGTATTAGTGCAAACCCAGCTGTTCTATCAAGATGTGGGGAAAGGGAAACAGCAGAGCTGTTCGTGGGAAAAATGTCGATAACCAAATGCTCATTCTGTAGTCTTTTCTCAGGCCATTCTCATGGAGTCATCTGACTTCCCATGGGAATATAACCCATATACAGGCATGAATAAATACTGCTTTTACTTGGCCGAACTCTTTTATTTCATTATTTCATTCACCCCTATCTTTCCCTTTTCCTGAAGTGATATTTTCCTCCAGTTTCCCATTAATCACAACCAATGGATTTTGACACTTAGCATAATTTGCTGTCTCTCCTTAAACATATTCCAAGTGAAGACAGAGGCAATGAACCAGGTTTGGAGCCACTTCACTGCTGGGTGCTGGTGGGGGAGATGGCCGCACATTTTGTAGTCCTCAGTATGCAAACAAGGTAACCCAAGCAGTTGATCCAAAGCTCAGTAAGGCTATGGAGAGCATCTCACCTGATCTTGAGAGCACTGGCATATGCCGGGCTTGCCTGAATGAGTAGGAGGACCGTGCCCCACGCTGCTTCCACACTGTTACATGCCATATTCCACGCCCGGAGTGCTATTATGTTCTGAGAATGACTAAACACTGTAAATCCACAGACAAAAGTTAGAAGCCCACATCAAAATAATGAATTACATTCTCTATTAAAGCAATGTGAGGCAACTCCAAAACCCCCATGATTACCTGCTCTAATGCCAGCAGTAAATCTGTTTCTGTATCTTCCATTTGATAAGTAGTCCCATTGTTAATAATCTGTGCACTGTTCTGAATACAAATTAGTCAACTAGAATGTGGCAC